TACTTCTCTGCCATCTTGCCCTCTCTCTCTTAATTTAATTTTTTAATATATAGATGATTATCATGTTTCTAAAAGTCAAAACTAATCAATTCCTATCCACTCCCTTTTCCTTTCTGATATTAAACTTTCTTGTTTTCTGGCATATCCTTGTGTTTCTATTTTTAGATAAGTAGATAGATTTCGAAGATAAGCAGATCTATTTTCTTATCTTCTTGTACAAAAGTTAACATGTTATCTATATTCTTTAGCACTTTGCATTATTCACTTAACCTTTTACATGTGTATTTTTATAAATTTATCACGGGTTGTTTTTGATTTTTTTTTAATATGTGTATCTTACCTTCCATCCTAAATCTTAAATTTCTTCAAGGCTGGTCTGTGCTTTATTGGTCTTTAAAGTAATCCCAGATCTACTGTCTCTTTGTGGTGTTGAGCAAGTTGTTTAACCTCTCTAAGCCTTAGTTTAGGGTGAGATAGGGTGATGTGGGGTTCTTTGAGGATTTAATGTGTTCATACACACAAAGGCCTTAGGAAGTCCCTGGCTTATAGTGTATGCTCACCATTGATGGTCCTGTCTACAGAAGCTAGCCCCGTATATCTAGGTGTTTGATAAATATACATATGTTAAATAAACTTTATATTGCTAGGTGTTGGAAAATAGTAATGAAAAAGACATAGTTTCTGTGCTCAAGGAGATCATAATAATAAATAAACTATTTTAAAAAGGCACGTAACCCTTGTATCTTTGGTAGTTGTCGTCATTCTCTGCAAGCTGTCTTCACATTGTTTACATTTCCTGTGTTGAGTCATAAGATGTAGAATAGTTAAGGATCAGGACCTGATTATTTCTAAAGACTTAATGGGAGGCTGTGTGATGTAGGGGAAAAGCAATGAAACAGGAATCTGAGAGAGAACACAGTTCTTTTTTTTTTTTTTTTTTTTACAAATAGTTTATTGTCAAGTTGGTTTCCATATAACACCCAGTGCTCATCCCCACAAGTGCCGCCCTCTGTGCCCATCCCCCCCGCCCCCCCACATCCATCAGTCCTCAGTTTTTGTCAGCATTCAAGAGTCTCTCATGGTTTGCCGAGAGAACGCAGTTCTGATTCTTAGTCTGATGCATGTGATGTGGGCAAATCCCATTTCTTTTTAGGTCTTTTTTTCCCCCAGCTGATGAAAAAAATAAGTAGTTGGAGAAGCTAAACTCAAAGGAATCTTTAAAATTTTTTTAAAATGTTTATTTATTTTTGAGAGAGAGACACAGTCCAGGCAAGGGGAGGGCAGAGAGAGAGGGAGATACAGAATCTGAAGCAGGCTCCAGAGTCTGAGCTGTCAGCACAGAGCCTGTGACACGGAACTCAGACCCACGAACTATTAGATTGTGACCTGAGCTGAAGTTGGATGCTTAACTGACTGAGCCACCCAGGCACTCCTCAAAGGTATCTTTTAATTCCTAAGTCTCCAGGTCTCACCAGTGGGAAGTTCCAGACTGAATTCTGGGTGTGAGGCGTGGGTGGCATTGCCCAATTTTCAAAAGGTATGATACTTTACCTTGAGTTGGCACAGTAGTTCATAATGACTTCACTTAGTGTATTATTATAAGAGAGATCATTTTGAGTATGTACTATGCCTACTAAAATAACTCCTTCAAGTATATTATATTTAGGGTATCAGTTTTCTTTTGTGTGGCTTTATCTCTCCCCATTTTTTTAAGTCTGAGATAAATTAATTCCTGGTTTTTCTCTCCTTTTATCCCTTCAAAGGCATTGCAGAATTTCACATACTATTTAGACTGTTATTCAACTGTTAGGATTCTTTCCAGCCTCATCTCTCGCTATTCTCTTCTATAAAAATCTCACCACTCCAACCTCTTCTCCCCTGCTTCTCCCATATTAGTCTTCATTCTGTCCCTTGAGTACACCCACTTGATTTCCCTCCGCTTACATCTCTTGTCTAAATATTTGCATGGCTGACTCCTTTTAAACTTTAGTTTTCAACTCAAATATCATTCCTCAGAGACCCTTCCTGACCACCCAAACCAAGTCTGCCTTCTGTTCATCCAGTCCATGCTCTCTATCTCTACATTTTATTTTTTCACTCATTTGTTCCCTTGTTAATTGTCTTTCTGCACTAGAGTAAAGACGAGCATGGCCATGGTTTATATTATTTGCCAACTGTACTCCCAGCACCTAGGACAGTGTGTAGTAAATATTTGTAATGAATGAACTAATTAATAAATGTACCACCTGCTCTGGTCTTACTAGTTGCTTCATAGTTTTCTCAGCACACTTTTGAGTTTTCTTGTTTCCAGTCTTTTATGTAGTTAATTCTTTTTTTAAAATTTAAGAAGTAATGCATAGGAAAGTTAAAGATCAGATCCAGATTATTTCTGAGGGTTTTTGTGAGAGTTCCTGTGTCGTAAGAGAAAGAACCTTGAAATGAATGTCGGGGTATGTAGGTTCTGCTCTAGCTTATTCATGTTGTAGCCTCAGGAAAGCCCTATCTGTTGATCCTTAAACCCTCAATCCTTGTGCTATATTTGTAATAAAACCTGTGATTCTCAGTTCTTAGCTAGAAAGGCTTTCATAGTCTTCTCTGAATTCCTATTGTCTGGTTACAGCTCTAAACACATTCTGTCTATATAAAGTTCCTCAAGCGGATACCTTCATTTAATGACAATAAACCTTTTCTTAGATGTCAGGACAGTCTCAGTGGCAAATGACAGAAACTCAAGTCAGATTGGCTTAAGAACAAAGGGGCATTCATTAGCTCAAGAAACTAGAAAATCAAGAGCTTCAGACATGGCTCTCTATCCAGGAACCCCACCTACCACCCCTGACCCCAATCCTCACACCAATCTCTTGACTCTACTTTCTTCTATTATAACTTTATTCTTAGAGAATCTCTTCCACATGGTGGTAGGATGACTACTGGCAATGTCAGGGTGACTTTTCTCCAGTTGAAGAACTCGAGCAGAAGGAGGCCTTCCTTCCCTAGTAGTTTTATCAGATGTCCTGAGGCTGATGCCCATTGACTTGGGTTGGGTCACTTTTCAAAACATCCATGAAATAATCACTGTATGGAAGAGGGATACTCTTAGTAACCAAACCTGAACTGTTTGCCAGCCATTGGAACCAGAGGATGGAAGCCACTCCACGGAAACCACATGAAGCGAGAAAAATCTAGAACCCACTACCAAAAGAAAGGAGATAGGGATGCTGGCCAGGTAAAAGCAATAGGTGCCCTCTATAGCATGCCAGACCCTGGGTGTGCAAATGCAAACAAGACAGTCTGTAGCTATTCTATAGTAATGTTGTTCATGTAGGAGTTAGACAGACACATTTAATTTCAGTATGTTTTGGTAGGTACTAAGTTATAGGGGTGCTCAGGGGACTGCGGACATACAGGGAAGGGTATTTAGATGCCCAGTCTCCTGGAAAGTCTTCGAAAGTTACCTGGAAGAGACAATGTCTGGGTGGATGACTGAAAGAAAACTAAGAGCTGCCTTTATTTAGAAAAAAGAGAAGGGTGGGAAAGGGCATTGTAGCCTAAGGGAATAGCATGAGCGAAGAACAGGCACTTATAGTCATATCAGATCTTAAAGTGGAAAGTGGGAAGAGATGAGCCTGGAGAAGTAGGTAGGGTCTAGGTCATTGGTACTTCAGTCATGTAAAAGAGTATCATCTGGTTGATGGGGAGCCATTGAAGGGAAGATGAATGATCAGCCTACAAAATATCTTGATATGTATGCCCAGCAGGCAGTTGGAATACGTTGTTTTCAGGAGAAGTCAGTGCTGGAAATAAGAATGTAGGAGCCAACAGCAGGTAGGGAATATTTAAAATTACAGAGACAGGAGGGGTTGAGGGAAGACAGAGTATGGTGAGGCTAGTGGTGAGCCAAACTAGAACTCTAGGTAATGCTGGTGTTTAAAAAGCAGAAAAAGGAGGATCAATACATACAAAAGCCTGAGGAGGAATGCTCATAAGGGTGGGGGAAGAACTGGAAGATGGCGTATTACAGAAGTAAAAGAAAACTAAAAACAACTCAAAGACCCATCATCAGAGAATGATAAGTTATGGTATATGTATAAAATGAGCAACTACATAGCAAGAAATAAGAATGAGCTACTGATATTTACAACAACATGGATAAATCTAACAGACACTATGTTGGGCATAAGAAGCTAGACACAAATTACAATGGATTTAAAATTTCATTTGTGTACATTTTAAGGACAGATAAAATTAATTGACAGTGAGACAGAAGAGTGGATTACTTTTGGGCAAGGGAAGGGTGACTCATTTTGAGCAGTATTGACTAGGAAGGGGTGTGGGGGCACCTTCTAGGCTGATAGGAATGTTCTGTATCTTGATCTGGTCACAGTTACAAAGGTATATAGATATATAAACATTTCTTGAGTTTGCTCTGAAGATTTGTGCACTTTATGTAAGTAAGTTATATATTGCAGTTTAAAAAAAGGCCAAAGGATTAGAGAATGTCAAGAAGGAGAACAAATGGATGGCAGTGTTAAGTGTTGTAAAGAGAAGTGGTAAGGTAAGTAGATAGATGTATGATAAATGTATGTTCGGGTGAGAACTGACCTACATGACACTAACATGTTCCTGGTAGGTGCATAATACATACGATAACCTTTTGGTGAGCTGAATTGGATTGTTGATGGGCTCTAATCTTTTTTTTATTTAGGCAAGAAATAATGCCTATGAATGGATGAGTACATCTCTAGCCAAGCCCTTAGAAGAGAAGGAAGAAGGAGAAAAACAGTTGGAAACAGAAAAAACTGAGCAAATCAGTAAAAATTCAATAGAGGTACCAAAGCCACTAAGCTGCTGCTGCTTCTTTTTTTCTTTTAATGGTTTTGAGATGGGGGTATCACAGTTAGAGACATAGGCACCTTCTGTTTTTTTGTACCCACTACCCATTAGGTCAACCTTGTAATTCAAGGTTATAGCAACCTTATTCCAGACTGTAGGATGAAAGGAGTGAAGAAAAAGAGACTAAGGGCATATGTGCGTTGTATCATGAGGAAAGTTCCCAGAAGCGGCCACAGGATACTTTTTATCTAGATCTTTTGGCCCAAACTTAGTCACATGGACACACCTGACTTCAGGGGAGCTTCTGTTTCTGCAGTTATGAGCCCAGCTATAAAATGACATCACTGCTGTGGTAGAAGAGGAGGTTTATTAAAGGGCAGCCATTGTCTTTGCTGCTTTCAAGATCTGGAATCCTCCAGTATGTGAGAGTCAGTTCTTCATTTCCTCTGGGTTAAAAACAACAACAATGCTTTGTTTTGCTTTTCTGTTCAGGATATCCATGCATTTGCTATCCGGAGCCTAGCAGAACTGACTGCCTGCTCAATTGAACTGTTTCACAAAACAGCGGCTCTGGTTCTACATGGCCAGAAGCACGAAGTGACAGCCTTAGAAAGGAGCAGAGCCCTTTCCCAGTAAGTGTAAATCATATCCCTGTAAATGATGCATATTGCTTCAAGAGTTTCCTCAGCCTCTTTCCAAAGTTTTAAGAAACTTTCCCCTCAACAAGATGCTATTCACGTTGTACTATTCACTTGTTAGAGGTTTGTTCCTTTCGGGTTTTAGTTATTAAGTAGCCAGAAGTCTTGTTTCTTTTCATTGAGCCATAAGTCTACATTACAAATCTTTTTATTAACCAATTGGTTGTTTTATTAATTGATAATCTGGAAACTAGTTCTCAGATTATTGGTTTTTAATAAAAATAGGGTTTTACATAAGTAAAAACAGAGATTAGTTCTAAGAACCTTAGTTCTTAATAATGGTTATATTTGTTAGTGACTGCTTATTATTGTGCCAGGTACCATGCTAAGGGACTTATATGTATCATTTCTAATTTTACAACTCTAAAGGTAAGTGATTAGTCCAGCTTTAAAAAAAATGAGGAAACACAAACTCAAGAGAAATGCAATAATCTTCCCAGGCTGTGGAGACTGGGATTTAATCTCACATCAGGCTAAGTCCCCAAACCCCCTTTTCTACCATATTGCTGATTTTGAATAAGAATTTCAAAAATAATATAAAGTAGGTAGTCATAAGAGACAAAAAAGACCTACTGCTTTCTGCTTTCTAAATAAATCTAATTAAATAATGAGGATTTAATCGGGAAAAAAATGTGTTAGGGTTGGGAGGGGCCCTTGGTGTTTTCCAGACCTCCTCTTTACCTGCAGCTTTACCACCCTTCTACAACATCCCACAGAGGTGGCTGGTTTTGTCTTCAACATCCTTAGTGAGGGACTCGACCCCAAAGTAGCTTGTTTTTTGGAAAAGTGGCTTTTTCTAGTTTCCACTTGTATATCTGTGTTTATATGTGTACATATGCATATAAATATATATATATATACACCTGTACAGTCTATGTGTGTGCATATATAAGCATATACATGTATGTAGTTTCCCTCTTAATTATCAAGTGAGTTAGAATCCATAGAAACTGGGCTTTTGCTTGCTTACTGATATATCCCTAGTGCTTAGAACAGTGTCTGGTACATGGAAGACTTCAGTAAATATCTGTTGAATGAATGAATACATAATTATTTTACCTACATTTATAAATGGAATGTAGGATTTTTAAGTACTATCTTATATCCTTAAAATGTATTTTATTTTCTTTGATTTAACTTGGAGGTCTAGTACTTTCTAGAGGGATTTTGCAGAATAAAGTTTTTCCAAGGACTGAACCTCCTCTTCCTGTAGCATGAATGTCTGCTCAGGTGGGTCCCTAAATACATCAGGTAGCTGATGAAGGCATACTTACTCCCTTTAAAAAAAAACCTTTCTTCTTTCACATTTACCACCAGGAGTGATTTGTTTTCTTTTGACAGTTGTTAAATATAGCTTATTTAAAAAAAAAAAAAAAAAAAAAAGAAAAAATCAGAAAGAGGAACCCCCTGACTTTCCTCACTTCTTTCCTAGGATGACCGTTGTGTTGTGTAAAGAGCTGTCTTCTCTGTCTAAAGAGTTCACCACCTGCCTAACAACTGCTGGGGTAAGAATTCATGCCTGTTCTTGGGCTGATGTCTGTTCTGTGGGGTATGTTTTAGACAGCTTTATTGAGATACAGTTTCATACCATAACATTTTCCCATTTCAGGTATACCATTCAATGGTTTTTAGTGTATTTGCAGAGTTGGCACGACCATCACCATAATCTGATTTTAGACCGTTTTCATCATTCCCCAGAAAACCTCACGCCAGTGGCAGTCACTCCAGTTCCCTTTCCCTCCATACTCTCCTAACCCTAAGCAACACTTACCTGCTTTTTGTCTGTAGATTTGCCTATTTTGGATGTTTAATCTAAATGGGTTTGTACAATATGTGATATTTTGTGTCTGTTTTCTTTCAGTTAGCATAATGTTTTTGAGGTTCATTTACATTGTGCAGTATGTATCAGTACTTGTTTTTATTACCAAATAATAATCTATTCTAGGGATCTATACCATTTTATTTTTCTGCTTATCAATTCTTAGACATTTGGACTGTGTGTCTTTTTCAGCTATAATGAATAATGTTGCTATAAACATACATGTTTGTTTTCATTAGTAGGAGTGGAATTGCTGGGTCACATGGGTGTTGTGGGCCTTTGACGAACTGCCACAGTGGCATTGAACATTCTTGCCAGCAATGCATAAAGTCCCCAGTTTTCTAAACCCTCATCAGCACTTAACTATTGTCTATTGTTTTTTTTTTAATTAGCAATCCTAGTAATAGATATGAAGTGGTATCTCATTGCAGCTTTTAATTGCATTTTCCTGATAGCTAATGATGTTGAACATCTTTACATGTACTGTTGGCCATTTGTATCTCTTCTTTAGAGAAATGTCTTCTCTAGTTTTGCCTACTTTTAAATTGGGTTATTTGTATTTTTATTATTTTATAAATTGGGTTATTTCATTATTGTTTATATTTTTGTCATTTATTTTAATTATTTACTATTTGTTATTGAGTTGTAGGAATGCTTTATATATTCTTGGTACAAGTTCCTTATCAGATACATGATAGGCATGTATTTCTTCCAGTCCATAGGTTGTTTTTTCACTTAATCTTGATAGTGTCTCTGCACAGAAGTTAATACTGACTTGTCATTGTTTTCTTTTATCACTTGTACTTTTGGTATTGTCTCAAAAGAATTATTGCCTAACCCAAGATCATGAAGATTTACTCCTTTGTTCTCTTCTAAGAGTTTTCTTGTAGCTCTTAGATTTTAAGTCTGTGATCCATTTTGAGTTAATTTTTATGTAGGGGATGAGGTAGGGATACAGCTTCATTCTTTTGCATGTGCATATCCAGTTTGCCCAGCATCATTGGTTGAAAAGCTCTTCCTTATTGATTGTCTTTGCCCTTTTGTCAAAAATCAATTAACCATTGATATATGGGTTTATTTCTGGACTCTGATATCTATTATTGATTTTATTTGTGTGTATCCTTATGCCAGTGCCATATTGTCTGGATTACTATAGTTTTGTAGTAAGTTTTGAAATTAAGAAGTGTAAGTCTTTCAAGGTGGTTCTTCTTTTTCCATATCTTTTGTCTTTTTGGAGCCCTATGCATTTCCTGTGTGAATTTTAGGATCAGCTTGTCTTTGTCTAACTGATTTTTGCTTTCTCTTTTTATGAAATCTGCAGTGTGTTTTGTGCTGCTCTCTGAGACCTATACTGGAAATTTAGACCTTGATAAAATAAAAACTGCCAAGTGACTGTAGTTTTAAGGAGCAGCACCTTACTTAGACCATGGCGATCCTCATATTTTGCAGCTGTCAGCCAGGAACACAGTTGTAATTAAAACAGCTAAAGTTCTTTTTTTTTCTTTCTTAAAGGAATTGTAAAAATGTACTGAAGGTGTGTAAACTATGGAGCATGATTCAGAAATCAGTAATCATTAATTAGGATAAAGTCAAGGGCATTTTATGAGCAGATAAAAATCACTTTGTAGTAAAACCAAGTTCGTAGATACAGAGAGCAGATTGGTGGTTGCCAGAGGCAGGGGAGTAGAGGATGGGTAAAATGGGTGTAGGGGATTTAAAGATATAAATTTCCAGTTATAAATAAGTCATGGGGATGTAATATACAGCATATGTACAGCATAGTAACTGTTGTTAATAATTTTGTATTGCATATTTGAAAGTTGCTAAGAGTAGATTTTAAAACTTCTCTTCACAAAAAATTTTTGTAACTGTGTGTGGTGACACATGTGAACTAGACTTACTGTGGTGATCATTTCCCAGTGTATGTAGATATCAAATCATGTTGTACACCTAAAACTTGTATGGTGTGGTATGTGACTTACACCTCAATTTAAAGAAATCACTTAGTAGTAAGTATTTAAGGGTCAGTGTGGTAGCAGATTCTGGGTCCTTAAACTTATTTTATGTAACAGCATAGCCCAAATTAATTTTTCTTACTTTGTGAGTTTAAATTATTCCTGTAAGGGATAATCCTGGGGTTATCTCTTTTCCCCTTAATATTGTCTTTAAAAGAGTGTCTGGGATTCCCAAAGTTAATCTTTGGAGCTGGCCGAATCTTTCCATGTGTTTCATAAAGATACTTTAACCCAGCAAGTCAACTGTAAGGTGCTTGAACATGCGATTACTAATTTTGCATTAGTTGTTTCCATGTTTTTCAGACAGCCCGTCTTAAAAACCATTGAATATTTTGATCACATGATACATATGCATGTCTGCATTTTTTTAAGTTGTTCTAAAGTTTTCGGTCACATGTATCATCATTTCTACCCTCTCTTCCAAAATGAAGATACTTGTTAAAGTCAGTAAAGAAAGAACTACAAAGGAGTACACTCTCAGTTGAATGGCATGGGAAGATATAAAGAAGGAAATTTAAAAAACCTTTTTTTTAATGTATATTTATTTTTGAGAGAGAGAAAGAGGGGTGGAGAGAGAGAGAGAGATACAGAATCTGAAGCAGGCTCCAGGCTCTGAGCTGTCAGCCCAGAGCCCAATGCAGGGCTCGAACTCGTGAACCACGAGAGATCATGACCTGAGCTGAAGTCGGATCCTTAACTGACTGAGCCACCCAGATGCCCCTTTAATTTTTTTTTAATGTTTATTATTTGAGAGAGAGAGAGAGCAGGAGTGGGAGAGGAGCAGAGAGAAGGAGACACAGAATCTGAAGCAGGCTCCAGGCTCTGAGCTGTCAGCACAGAACCCCTTGTAAGGCTTGAATCCACAGACTGTGAGATCAATCTGAGTAGATATCGGACACTTAACTGAGCCACCCAGGCGCCCTGAAAGAAGGAAATTTAAAGCACTTTTAGAAATGATATTTTGCACTTTCTCAGTCCAGACATTTTCTATACTTAAGTTATGTATGGGTGTTATGGGTGTTTGCTGTGCTCACTTAACACTGTATCCTTTATTCTAGGTCAAAGAAAAGGCAGACATCCTTAATCCCCTAATCACTGCTGTATTTCTAGAGGTTAGTAGTAGTTGTGTGTTAAGTCTCTAACTTTTAGGGCAGTATGTATTATTAATCAACTCTTTCTTAAGTATTTTTGGCCTTTTTTGTTTTTTTCACCAGATTGGTAATTTAGCCATGTTGATGCAGATATGACCAAAATGGTGTGTAGTTGATGCATATCCCTGTTCATTATTTACAAAGCATAAAGATGAAGCTGCTGCATAAAGTTCAGAGAAGCATTAGGTGGTCATTGCTTAGTTTATCCATTGGCCATTGATGGACAGTACTTAGTAATGAAACACCTTCTCCAGACCAGCAAGTAAACTTGAAGGGCTGAGAATTACAAACAGGCAAACACTGCTTCTGAAAGCACTAACATTTATACAGGGGAGATTTATTATAAAACAGAACATTTTGTTGTGTCGTTTCCTTGCCAAGAAATTTGCATTGTTTTGTCAAAGGTACCTGTGTTTACATAATCCTCATCAGTCCATTAGAGTTAAGGAGGTGGGTGGTTTAAGTTCCTCGGAAAGGGGGATGTCAGAGGATCACACGATCGATTATATTGCCTGCTGTGTGACACTTTCTGCATTCCATGTTTTAAAAACTCTATCTTGTTAATTGTGCCAACAATTTAGACGTTTGATCAATAATCAAATGTATTTATGTAAGTTGGGGGAGATAATTGGCTAGGTTTCAGTTATGAATTGAAAACAATTTTTAACTACTAGACTATTACTTCTTTAGTTTTAAATTCTTTTAAAATTATCACCAAGGAAATGCTTTTAATTCCTTAACTACACAGTTTTCCTTGAATATCAGGGTAATTATTCTGCTGACTTAAATAGTTTTTTTAATAGTCTGTGATTGAGTAGATGGCAGAGGGGTGTAGGTGAGAAGTTTGCATACCAGGAGTCCAGTCCAGGGTCTCTCCTGATTTGCTGTATGACCCTGGACCAGGCATGTACTTTCCTGACAATCTTATCTTTATGTGCAACATAAGAGATTTAACTAGATGATCTCTGGGGTCTCTTTTGGTTGGAAAATTTGGCAGCAAATGTCACATTAAAGTTTAAATAGGAGGACATGCTATTGATAAATCCAAAAATGGTAAACTCACTTGATGGGTGTTCCTTATTGCTACTTGGACTTGGTTGTTTTTGTTTACTCATTTGAAACACTCTTGTCCTTGAAATTATACATTTTTATCTTAATATAATAAAAGTCTCTATTATTCTAATGGAAGATCAGAACTTGTCAGATATAAATGAAGTCTGGCAAACTCTGAGCATCATGATTCTGTGATGCTTCTCATAAAGATGTCTGTTGTACCAGACAGAAATATATCTACACTGTTATCATCTTTAAAACAGTTTTCATACCGAACAAATACAGACATTTGGTTTTATTTGTAGTACCTGTCTTGTATTCATTAGTTGTGTTGAGTCCACAGAAGAAAATGTCATAATGGACATAATGGAAACCTGATTGGTGTACTATTCAGCCTTGTAAAATCCGCTGAGGGATTGATTAAAATGCTATGGCCGAATCTACCCATTTAGTAAAGGAATACATAAGCTTCAAATGCCGAATTTGAGTGGGATGTCAAAAAGCAGCTACTATTCCTGATGGACAAGTTGGATAAAAATGCTGCCATTCTTTTTTGGTACTGTCATATCTTAAGACCTAGATTGTTTTTTCCTCTCTAGCTTTTATTAGCATGGTTAGTTTGTGCTTTTATTTGCCAGGCAACAGATTCACTTAGATTGTAAAAGTTAATCTTTTGTTGTTGTTGTTGTCTTTTGATATATTTGATATATTTTCCCTTTTAAGTGACTGTGCTTTTTTTTTTTCCAATCTTGACAGGCATCAAACAGTGCTTCCTATATTCAGGATGCCTTTCAGCTGCTCTTACCTGTGCTGGAGATCTCGCTCATTGAGAACAAGACTGAACTACCAGAGGCATGAGCTGCAGGCCTAGGACCTTTGTCAGAACATTGAAGAGCAGAGGAGATTCAACCCAAAACTTGTGATGGCCAAAAATGCCACTCTCTTTTGGGTACCCCTGAAAAAGCGAAGGAGAAAGGATTATTTTTAGTGTATACAATTTAGGCAAGAGAGCAGGTGTTTAAAGGAGGTTTGTTGCCTTCCCTGCTTGGCTGAAGTATTCAGGCCTTCATACTGCTCTTCCAAGTTGTTATAATTATTATTTGAAAAGAAACTTTTATGGAAAGTTCAAAAATGATAGCTCTAGATAAAGGTTAATGGAATATTCGGGCAAAAATATTGGTCTTTCTTGGACATGATACAAAACACCAATAGCTTTGTCACAGTTATATATGATTTTACAGCCCGTGGATATAATTGGTTGTGAAGCAAGAGAAGAAACAATTTACTATTCTAGAATTCATGTGCTTGATCTGTTAATGCCATCCTTTCTCCTTTCTATAATAAAATCTGTGGCTTTGAGAAAACAGTATATAGAAACTGTAATGATCACCTTTTATTGCCTAAATTCTTGGAATTGTTTAGAAAGTTTCATGTGCTCTTTAATTCTCAGAAGGTATTTGGTACTGAGGAGAAACTTTGGAAATGTACTTGAAGTCACATGGATTAACTACAGAGTAGTGCCCTTTGGCTTCAAATTGTTCTCCTACCCTAAGGTGACAGGCGTCAGTGGTAGTTGAGCCCCACTTGCCTGGGTTCCAGACCAGTAAGTGCAACTTAGAGAAACGGTTTCATGTTTGCAGGTATTTGAGTCTCTCCAGGATATTTCTCACTCATACGTGCAGGGGAAGTTTTGCAGCAGCCAGCTCCAATGGAGTCTTGAAGCCCTTTTAGTAATGGGGCTTTCGGTATTTGAACATTGTTGAAGGGGACTATGGAGTCCCATAGAAATGATGTTCACTTATAACAGGATTTAACCTGTAAGACACAGTATGTTTTTCCTCACTCTTTTTTGTTTGATTTTAACGTATTCCTTAGCATGTTTATAAATACAACTTTTATCCTTCAGATCTTAAGCCTTCCTTTGGTCTCCTCAACAATGTAAGAGACTAATAAGGTGTTACCTTCCTAAAAATTATTTGGTGTCCACTCTTTTTTAAGAAAAATTCTCCAGCTTTGTGGTTGGAGGTAACTTTTGTGAGCGCTACTGCTCATCTTCTAAAACCTTTAAATAGAATACTTGTGTCAGTCAGTCATTTCACTTTTCTATACATAAGCCCCAGTATCTTTTCCAAACCAAAGGAATAGCAAAGTGAAGCTCTAATATTGATTGAGCTCAATACCGTTTCTGCATAATCGCCTTATATGGGGGTAGGGGGCAGGTTGTAAGTGAGGAGGAAATAGGTTTGAGCTAAAAAGGTACACCAACAGCACTACAGTTTTACTCTGCTTATATTCTGTTCTAATATGATCAGAACAGTTTTTGAACATTCCTTTTTTTAGATAAATTTCACCCTTCCCAATAAAATTCTGAAATTTCAGGTGGAAAACAAAAATAAAGCCAGTGTTTCCAACCCTGATTTGTTGCCTCAAGCCCACTTGCTGTGTCTGAACCTGGATCCTCTGAGCAGGGTATTCCTTGAGCAGGGTCTAGGAACTGGCCACATTCTGACCACCCGTTCGTACTCTGGTATGTCTGGCAGTTTGCAGTTTTTACTTTTAGTCTAGAAACCTAGCTGAGGATTTTCTTTCAAGAAGAGAGATATAGATACAGGGGACAGAACAGTGACACTTTTTATGTCCCTGTCCTGATTTTGACCGGTTTTAGATTAGACCTTACAAAAGGCAGATGTGACTCACTGCCTCTTTTTTCACTTATCCCTCTCATCAGCTTCTCCCGCCCACTCAAATGTTTTTTTTTAAATGGTTTTAGGGAACCATTGGTGAAACAATGATGTAAGGACCAATTAATTCTGCGTAACAATTGCCTTTCACCTAAAATATAATGAGAAAGAATGAAAGTTCCTTCATTGAGTAGAGACAACAATAGGAGCATAAGAATTCATTGGCAGGTGAAAAGGTAAATTTGGGATATACAGAACCTATTGGATTATGGTGATGATTATTGGATGCTGTGTGCTTCATTCTGTTTGGGGTGTGTATGGGATGTAGTTTCTTGATGATACCTAGTCTTTTGGTGCTGTTTCTTTTAAATTTTTTTTGTGTCTAAGGTTTACTACTAATATCTGAATATGTGCTATGCTCCCCTCTTCCCAAGTCACTAAACACTGTACTGGTAAAATGTATAGTTAGTACTGGGGTAAAATGTTGCTTTTCCTGCTATTAGGATCTTTAAAGGCTAGGATTAAAAGAGACTTCATTAATTTGGTCTAAAAGAAATAGAAACATCTACAAACCAATTCTTGTTTTTTCTTTATATAACACCTTGCAGATGTGTTAAGGATAAGTTATATTTACCTTACTTGCTTTTGATAGGTTGCTTTTTTTTTTTTTTTTTTTTTTTTTAAAGGCAGAGATACCTAAATTGACAGGCTTCTGAAATAGGAAAGTGTAATCATATGGCTGGCATTCACAGGAATCTGAAATCAGTGTTGATGCACAAATGTGGATTTTCTAGTCCTACAATCAGGAAACAAGTTTTGTCTGTCCTACCCCAAATGAGGACCCTCTCTTTTGTACTTGTTTTTAATCTAAAGACCTATTTGAAGGAGAGATATTTTATAAGTAGTTGCTGTTGATGTCATCATTTGAAAGATAGACATCCTTTGTATTTTTAGATGTAGTCTGAATTTTAAAGGTGGGAATATTCCTCAGTTTGGAAAAGCCCAGGTCAAAATTGTGGGTAAAATTATACCCACAGGGGACACTGAGTAAGGATGATATTTCATAAATGTCAAAGATTGAAATCTTGTATTATGTCTTACCAATATAGCATGATATTTATTTTCATAATGAAGTGTTTGAGAAACGGAGTTCTCCTCTTTTTAATTTTTTAATTAAAAACATTTTTTTTAACATTTATTTTTGAGAGAGAGAGAGAAAGAGCATGAGCAAGGTAGGGGCAGAGAGAGAGGGAGACACAGAATCCGAAGCAGGCTCCAGGCTCTAAGTCCAATGCATGGTTTGAACCCACAGACCTTGAGATCATGATCTGAGCTGAGGTTGGACCCTTAACCGACTGAGCCACCCAGGTGGCCCGAGAAACAGTTCTAAAAACAACAAACCTGAATGTGTCATCAGGGTCTCTGGCTAACATGAGAAATTTGAAAACCTGCCCAGTGGTATCACTTTGCACCTGATATTCCGTGAGTACCATGCACTCATTTCCCTGTTTTACTTGCAGCCCATCCTTACTTGTTATTACATCATCTGGCCAGATCCCAAAGTCCTCATGTCTGATGCTTCCCCAGTCAATTCTTTAGGACTTTTTTTTTTTTTTTTTTTTTTTTTTTACAATCGAAGTGTTCTCTGAACTCATTGGTCCTATAAGCTTACAGTGGTACCACTGTCTGAACAAACTGCCTGTCAGCTGCAGAGCTCTCCAGGAAAGGAAGTGGGGCCGTTCCTCTGTTGTAATGAATTGTGGCTGAGTTGGGTAGACTTACCTCAAATCTAGTTGTAATTGTTGGGTCTTCAGCTTTGCAAATGTTTGTCAGATACAACCATTGAAACTTTCAAATTGCTACTTTTGGTGGCTTGTGTTTTAAGAGGCCAATTTCTGCCATTTACATAACTACATAATCTATTGTTCATCAACTACCAGTAGTTAGAAAGAGGAAGCTAATGTGTGGAGCAGCTTGAGTACCAGACACCACGGAATACACTCTTCTTTGTAATCCTCACAACTGCTCTAGGGGGTGCGGGGGTAGGGCAATGGCACCCTGGTTTATGGGGCTGCAGGTTGGTGTAGAAGTTAGGAGCAAAGGCAGACTCAAAAAATGGACCTCAGCTCCCTCGTGTTCCAGCCTGTGATCATGAACAGGTGACTTTAATCCCTTAAAGTGCAGTTTTGTCATCTGTAAAATAGATTTCAAACAGCACTTGCATTAGAAAGTCACTGAGAGGATTAAATAAGTGATCTATACACCGTGCTTAGGAAAGCGCCTGCCACATAAGCCAGACGAGCTGAATGCACATTAGCCAGACAATGTTCTGAACATTTTACCTCACAGCTCCATGAGAAGGCACTGCTGGCATTCCCATTTACAGATGAGAAAGCTGAGGCACAGAGGGTAACCAGCTCTCTTGACATCGCATAGTCAGCACGTGGTAGAGTTAGGACTCACACCTGGGCAGCTTGGCCCCAGAATTCTGTCTTTAACTAGTACACCACACGGCCACCATAACCTGTCAGCATAGAAGCATTTAACAGCTATTAGCTACTTGATTATGACGGTTATGAAACAGGCTCAAGGGGTTAAGTGACTTGCTCGGGATTTCACAACTATGAGTGACAGAGCGCCTGCTGTGTGAACCCAGGTATTTTGATCCCCAAACTCAGGTTTGTCTATTTTATTTTTTTAAGGGGAAAGGCTTGGAGCTGCCTGTCTAGTGAGAAATACCTGTAGGTGAGCATCTGGGCACATTATCTAAAGTCACTAGGAGTTGGCATAGAAAGGATAGTGTGGTGACAAGTCATGTTTGCCACAGCAGGAACAAAGATCTCCATGAAGTAAGAGCATCTGTATCAATCAGTGATCAAAAAAGGAGAGAGGAGTACACGAATGTTCATGGCAGTTCTATTTGTGACAGCCCCAAACTGGAAACTATGCAGATCTTTTTAGTGGGTGAATGCTTAAATCGTGGTACATCCACACCACAGATAACTGCTCAGAAATTAAAAGGAATAAACTATTGATGCATGCAAGAACTTGGCTGAATCTTGAGGGAATTATGCTGAGTAAAAAATCCCCAAAAGTTATACACTGTATATTCCATTTATATAACAATGAAATGACAAATTTGTAGAAATGGAGACCAATTAATAATTGCTCTGAAGTTAGGAATGGGGATGAGGGAGGAGAGAGGTTAAGTGTGGCTATCAAAGGGCAACAGAAGGGGTCATTGTGATGGAGTACATTGACTGGTGGACACACAGACCTACTTGTGTGATAAAGTACATGGAATTAAATACACGCACACAAATGAATACAAGGAAAACTGAGGAATCTGAATGAGATAGGGGGATTGTATCATTGTCAATATCTTGGTTGTAAAATTTAGTTTTGCAAGATGTTATCATTGGGGGACACTGAATGATACACAGGATCTCTCTGTTATAATTGCATATAAATCTACAATTAGATATTTCAATTTAAAAAAAAAAAGGAGAGGGCTTTGGGTCAAGGCAGCTGAAGAGTCAAAAAATGTCTGGGTTTGAAAAAGCCCTAGGGGGCCTCTCCCTCACGTGAGCATCCCTATTACAGGCACCCACTCACAGCAGGGATGATGGCAAATGTGGTTCTGTCAGGCTTCTCTCAATAAGCAGGCCCTTTGGTAGCAGGTTTTAGGATGCAGTGAAGTCCAAAGTGAAAGAGAGAGAACCAAGATCCAACATGAGAGGAGAGAGAATACACAGTATACGCAATAGCATCAATCACAAATAAATGCTGCTGAGTTGTTTTTCTTCTTCTGCGTTTGGTAATTCTTCAGGATCAGAGGAGCCCTTCAGGGTGGTTCTTGGTTCTTACGTCATCAGGGTTTGCATGGCTTAAAAAGGAGGCTGCTCAAATGGAATTGGGATGGGGAAACATTGCTACCTGGTGTTGGTGGACCCCTCAATTGTCAGTGGCCATTTAAAATCCATGTCAGCTTGTGATCCTTTCTCTGCTCATTTCCCCTGAGAAGGCAGAACAGCGAAGGGTTTCAAGAGCAAGGGTGAAGCTCTGGAGGCAGCCAACCTCAGTTCAAGTCCCCTCATCACCTCTTCCTGGGTGGTGGAAGTGACCTGCAGAGTTGGCCAACCTCTCTGCACCTTGGTCGCACCATCTGTAAAATGGGGATGGCACCTGCCTCACAGAGCTGGGTCAGGTAATGTACTCATGTGCTTGGCACAGAGCCTGGCCACAGTAATCACTCCATACATGTTAGTTCTGATGATTAGTTTCAGATGTCAGA